ACCACTTGCCGACCTTCTAGAAGGACTAAAGCTAGGCCTCTGGACTCTACTTGGACTCCTACCTTACAGGTCTACAGTTCGAATCTCCCTACAGCCTACAACCTACGGCGACCTACTTACCACTGGCTATCGTGCAGGTCACGGATTCAACTCCAGGGAACTGTGCAGATACTGTACACAGGTAAGCTGAGGTCAAAGGATCGACCCCTGGGATCTGCATCGGCTACTGCCAAAGGTGAAAACTGTTTCAACCAGACCGAACTCTACAGTGATCAGGCATGGAGGAGGCTTGGTGGGGGTGGGGCTGGCGGGCCCACAATTGAAAGAGAGTGCCACTGTGTGACAGCCACACCACACTAGGCACACTCTGCAAGCTTTTGGATGCCTCGTCGTTTCCGTGAAAACCGCCCTCCCAGCTCAGCAGGGCGGACTGCAGTTCCTCAGTTGGTACACCCAAGAAATGTTGAAATGCAGACCGGAGTTCGAGTCCATCTGCCATAAGATTATTTCTTGACTTTCTGGGCGTTTTGGCTAGGGAAGTGCGATCATGACACCTCAAGGCCGTGGCCCTTTCTAAAGAAAAAGGAAGGAAAAAAAATATCAACAGAAAAATTAAAAAAAATAACTGCATGCCAACTCAGCAGGGCGGACAGCTGCATTCGAAACAAAGCGAAGGAAAGAGCCCACAGACATAGATCAGGGCAGACTCACAGTAAGAATGTATCTGACTGAAATTACGGTCAGACCTGGATGAATCTGACTGCGATCACGTCCAGAGCTTAGTAGAACAAGAATTCAAGTATGCCCTCAGTTGGTACACAGACAACTCTTGAAATACAGCCCTAAGTTCGAATCCAGGTGCCATAGACATAATTGGGAAATACCTGTTGCTCTCACTGATGATACCTCGTGTTTTTTTTTGTTTTTTTTTTTCTAATGATGATACCTCAAGAACGTGGCCCCGTAAAAGCAAAGAAAAAGAAATGCAACCCCACAAAAAAAGCCGACGAACAGAAAATTCGGAAAAAAAAAATCCAAACAAAACAGACAGGCAGGCTGCAATGATGAGGGCTGCCTGCCTGCCTTTCCTTTTTGTCACACATGTTGCTGGTACCGGTACCATGTCCCGCGTGGTTGAATCTGCGGTCACTGTAGATGTCAGGCTCGGACAAATGCACTTTTTGGTTCGGCAATTTAGCCTCCGATGGACTGGTGGTTTAATATGTTGGACATCTCAAATGCTCTCGTTGTCCGCAATAGGATAAAGACTGCCTTGATTCTGAATCTATTCACCTGGGTGGAATTGGGGCTGTTGTGGGGAAAATCTAAAACACAAACACACACACACACACACATGCGCACACACGCACACACACGCACACACACGCACACACACGCAACATGCAATGTGGTGATGATTTTTCCAGTGCTGCAGGCCTGCATGTGCACCAGACATGAGTTGCAGCGACCCGTGCAGCATTTGCATGACTAGCAGCCACCCTGAGCACAAGTACGGCTGATCAGCTTCCGCTTCCTGCATCCAACCCACCCACTACCTGAGCGTTGTCGTCGGCGTTTCAGGATCGGTGATGATGTGGCAGCGACAATGATGACGTGGCAATGATGATGATAACGTGGCAATGTTGCCATTGAAGATGATGACGGCAGGGATGACGTGGCAATTTCGATGACAATGATGGTATGGCGTCATTGAAGCTGCTCCACGTCAATCAGGCAGGCAGGAGGGCGATCGACGCGGCTCCGATACCAGTGTGACGAGGCAGAGGCAGAGCAGCGAGGCTGGGAGAGAAAGGGAGAGTGAGAACACACACACGCTCACTCAACTCGACGCAGACTCGACACAGCTCGACGGATGCAGACACAAAGTGGCAAAAGTTGCAAAGTCGCAGTCTTGAATTCCCGAACACAATGTCGAGCCAAAGTCACTGTGGCTGAAAACTTGGTGTCGTACTGTGCTTGAGTCCGTACTTAAGTACAGGACTCAAGTACGGTCCTGAGGGCAAAAGTGAAAATGCCTCAGGGCCAGAACTGAAAATCGAAAGTCTGAGAGTGGGCGCCAGAATGCCAGATGGCGCCAAGTGTACGAAATTCGAAAGTCCAAAAAGGAGGAGTTTGCAAACGGTCGCCAGAATGCCGATGGTACCAACTGTCCGAAATCGGAAAGCCAAGAACAAAGTAAAACAAAACAAAAGAATTGCAAAAACAAAAAAAAGAAAATAAATACAGCAAGCTGGTGGATGGTGATCTGCAGACCAGGGATCGAGCCCTGGCGGAGTCCATAACAGCACATCTGCATGCCATCCTTAAGTAGAGGAAGGGGCTAGGAGTAGAAGAAGTTAGATGCCCTAGTGGACTGTTCGCGTCCAAGGCATGAAAGATGATGAAAGATTTGAGAGAAGATTATAGTCTAGTTTTAGGATATCATAC